ACACTATCTGGACAAAAGACATTACCAGCTATACATTGTTTTTAGAAAAAAATTATTACCAGATATACGTATTTGAAGGAAAATAGATTTTTGAAAAAAAAAAAAAATATTGCCAACAATAAAAATTTTATCGGCATTAAATAACTCTTTGAGGTTAATATGCCGTAAAACAAACCAAACCAAACCAAACCTATAAAATACTACTTTCGGCAAAAGAAAAGGCAGAAATAGGAAAAAAATAGTCTAGTAAGATGACTTGGTTCACTGGATAATCATTCAAATAATAATAGCCTATAGTCAGGTTTACATTCCTTCCCGATCTTTTGAACAAGAGTAGAAGTTTATCTCTTATTTCCTGTTTCGAATTGAGTTTCCGGTTCTTTCTATAGACTGCTTCAGCTTTCTACTCTTAATGACTGCGCATGAACTCTGAAATCTTATTCCCTCTTTACTTTATTTTATTTGTTCACTCCCCCACCAATATGAGTAGATAAGTTCGCCTATCGTCCACTTGACACACCTTCTCAATTCTTTGAAAAACACTAGAGGTTTATCCCTTATTTCCGATTTAGGATTGGGTTTCCGGTTCCTTCTAAAATCTACTTCAGCTCTGTATTCCTAACATCTGCGCCTGAAATCTGAAATTTTATAACTATTCGGTTGATGCAAAAATAATGACGTAATAATGTCGTTTTTTGACGTATTTTTTAAGGTAAAAAAACGACATTATTACGTCATTATTTTTGCACCAACCTAATATTTCACATTTTTTTCTCTCTTTCCCCAGTAGGAGTAGCTAGGTTGTGGAAGCACGATGGAGTAATGTATAGCGGCTCGGATTGAGGAATCGAAGAGCCGAGTTCGATCTCCAGTCGGATCCATTACATTCACTTACGTGCTAATACCCTTGGGAAAGGTATGAATCCAACTCTTCTGGCTTGAAGAGGCGCAGTAGAGTAATGGATTGCGGCTCGGATTGAGGAATCGGAGAGCCGAGTTCAAACCCCAGTCGAATCCATTACATTCACTTACGTGCTAATACCCTTGGGAAAGGAAGGAATCCAACTCTTCTGGCTTGAAGAGGCACGGTAGAGTAATGGATTGCGGCTCGGATTGAGGAATCGGAGAGCCGAGTTCGAATTCCACTCGAATCCATTACATTCACTTACGTGCTAATACCCTTGGGAAAGGTATGAATCCTTTTCTTCTTCCCCATTTATGGGCAAATAGCAGGACAGACCGGGTTCTTGGATGGTAACTGGTTTATCGCAGAAAGAAATAGCAACCTACTTCGGGAAACAATCGTCAATCATCTATCAAGAGATACAAGAGGTTCGCTTATCGTCTAGTTGACACAACTTCTCAATCTTATGAACAGAAGTAGAGGTGTATCTCTTGCTTACTGATTAGGATTGGATTTTCTGTTCCTTCTAAACTCTGCTCTGGACTCTTAATGTTTGTTCTTTCAAACGTTAATATAAATCCACACAGTAACCCTCTATCTTGAGTGGCGTTGTATTGGATGAACAATAATAATAGAAAAAAGCCTCAGATATTAGCATGCAACTGAGACATTTGGAGGGAGTTTGTCTGGTGCTTGGCTGCGCAGCGACCCTACGACCACACTCGGTCATGGGATAGATGATGATTATGTAAAGTATTGATTTCAGACTGGTTGATAATTTGTTGCGATGAAAATAAATTTAATAAAATTGTTTTTTTTTTTTGTCATATCATTTGATATTTGTAAATATGCATATTTCGCTGTTTGCTTAGATCGTACTAACTGAAATGTCGGATACGTGATGTTTTCTGATAAATTTTCTTTGGAATTGGTAGTCTTTGTCTTTTGTAATTTTCTACGATTGATCTTTAATATGCTGATTCTTGCACGATCTACAACTTGAGCTCGTGATAATCAACAGTAATCCTTCCTGGATTCTCTTATCCAGTTATATAAGGTTGAACACGGATTCACAACTATGCCTGAAACGCTAATCTTGGCTTAAGCAGATATGTATTATCCAGTATTATTTAATGTTGTATATCTAGATTCACTGTTGACCTCATTTTTCATACTGTTCTCTACGTCGATACTTCGTGACCCTTCAGGGTGTGAACGATCATAGCTCTCCTCAACTTCCAAGTATTAACCTGAATTATTCTTATTAATAACTGCATTGTTTCTTTCCAGATAAAATGACTGTTCAAAGAAGACTTCAAAAGTAACTACTAGAGACTTCTCTTGAAAATAGACAAAGTTTTGTCATTGTGGTGTTATCAAGTCGCTGTAGAAAAAGGGGCTTAGCTCCCAGAAGTGTATTCATGCACATATGGTTGCCATACTAGGAGATGACGGTCCAGCATTGTCAACAGTGCAAAATCTAGGTGGGGAATGGTGAGTCATTACTATAACCCAAGGTTTGAGCCTCCTGTAACTTCCATCACCGGGAAAATATTGACTGTGTTCGCCATATAGTGATGGATGACAGGCGGTTGATTATAAAAGCAAATAGCCAATGAAATTAGCATATCCCGCGAGAGAGTTGAGAATATTCTGTACAATGAACTTGGCATGGCGGATGTTTATTCTCGGTGGGTGCCACGACTTCTGAAACCTGATGAAAAGCGCACCAGGCTGATCACATCACGGTAAAATCTGCCAATGAGGCAGATACAGCTGGTTTCCAACCCAGGATGAGTGTTGTGCTCATCACTCCGAGCCAGAAAATCTACGCTACGAAAAGTCTCCTTTTCATCTGTTCCCAAGGAGACCAAGATCGTTTCATCTGCAGGGAAAATGATGGCCTCATTTTTTGGGGTGGTGGTGGTGCAAAAGCCATTGTGCTTATTGAATATTTTCAAAAGGGCCACACCATCACTGGAAAGTACTTCGCCATATTGATGAGACAGATACGAAATTCTATCAAAACTGAATACCCAGAAAAATAGATGAAAGGGATCTTGTTTAATCAGGATAATACTCCAGCACACAAGTCCTTGATTTCAATAGTTGCAGAACGTTAGCGTGGATTTGAATTGGTTGATCATGCTCTCTATTTACCTACCGAATCCGGCAGTTTTCTTTTATAAGATTTCTCGGATATTCAGACCGGTAGACGAAAATAAAAAATAGTCTACTCAAATATGAGTATCCATTAAAATAACGTTTAAAGGGATATATATATATATATATATATATATATATATATATATATATATATATATATATATATATTTACCATGTCGAAGAATTATATATATATAAACACACGAGGAAAAGCTATTCCTAGCAGGACGCGTTTCGGCCTTTGTGGGACTTTATCAAGGCAAATTAGGATTTATTTTGTTGCACATGTTTATATGCAAGAACAAGGATGTCATGGATTTATCAAGGCTTTTAAATTTGAGAACGTTCTTGAATGTTCCTTAGGTGGTTGAAAGGTCAGTTAAATCATGTGGAGTACACAAAGTGCCATAATTAAAATCTGGCAAGACAAAAGTAAGTGAATAATATTCAAAGACTATTTTTTTTTACATAAATGAATATTGTTCAAATTTTGATCAGATTGTTATGGTTTGGAATAGACGTATGTTCTGTAAATCTTCAAAAAATATCCATACTATACTAACTTGCTGAGGCAGTTACGAACGGATATCAAAACCAAGTGCCCAGGAAAACTGACGGAAGGGGTCTTGTTTCATCAACACACAAGTCCTTGGTTTCAATGGCTGCTGTGTGTGATTGTGGCTTTGATCTGGTCGATTAACCTCTCTGTTCTCCTGATTTGACGATCATCTGTTCCCCAACATGAAAAAAAACCTAGCATATCCAGCTGGTTTCCTTCAACGTTTCCTAATTCAAGATGAGGAGTGTCTTCATCACTTTGGACCAGCTAAAATGATATACCCTCCGCGTCTGTTCAAAAGAAGGCCAAAATCGTTTTATCTGCAGGGAATGTGATCGACTCAGTTTTTTAGGATGCCAAAGGCATCGTGTTTTGTGACTATTTTCAGAAGGGCCACACCATCAATGGAGAGTACTATGCCAACGTACTAAGTTAGTCACGAAAGTCTATCAAGACCATAGGCCTATGAAACTGACGAAAGGTGCCTTGATTCATCAGGACAATGCTCCGGCATACAAGCCCTTGGTTTCGATGGTTGCTGAGCCTGACTGTGGCTTTGAACTGATTGATCGCCTCCCTATTCTCCTGCTTTGGCTGCATCTTACTATCATCTGTTCACCAACACGAAAAAAAAAAACACTTATTTCTCCTAAACCTTTTTATATCATCCATTTACTCAAGCTCATTGGATTTCCTCTGTCCTTCTTTCATTCAATTGGTCCTGTGAGTATCAGATTTTCCGAGCTCCTTTTCCTTATTATGTGCCCTACAAATTTAAACTGTCTCTTCTTGATTTGAATCTAAGTTTCTCCTTTTGTTTCCATTTTCTCTAAAACTTCGTCGTTGCTCACATAGTCGGTCCTCAGCGTCCTTTTGTAGAGTCTGCTGTAAGTGAAAGAAAATGAGAAAACCTTTGATGGAAGTGAAAACCTAATTTTAAATAAGGAACAAGGGATAAATCTAGACTCCAGTTAAAGGAAAACGGGACCGTGTATTAAACCGACGATAGGGAAATATTATTAAAAAAAAAAAACTGTAGATAATCCCATCGGCGATCTAGTATTTGAAATTTTGTTAACACCGAGATATATGGGGCTCAGGAAAGACAATAGTATGAATCCAAATGTAAGGATATATATTAATTGATAATTAAGCTATTTTAATTAGTTTGTACCAATGAAGATTTCAGGGCTTTCCTATTTTGATTTTCTGATGAATCTGAATTCATAAGTTAATTATTGAGTAAGCTCATGGCGAGTTCTATGACAATAAAATATCCCTAAAAATTTCTCCAACAACTTTAACAAAATATTGCAATAACAATCATAAATATGAATGTTGGTGGCTATTTTAAGAAGTAAGGGGATACAAATGAAAAGATTTGAAACTATTTCGATTTCACTAAAACAACCGTTAATCACTTTTTCTTTCTTTCTTTCTTTCTTTTTCATTTTTTCTTCTTTCTTTCTTTCTTTTTCATTTTTTCTTCTTTCTTTCTTTCTTTTTCATTTTTTCTTTCTTTCTTTCTTTCTTTTTCATTTTTTCTTCTTTCTTTCTTTCTTTTTCATTTTTTCTTCTTTCTTTCTTTCTTTTTCATTTTTTCTTCTTTCTTTCTTTCATCTAATTTCTTACTGTAACCAACTTGTGTTTTCCCCTCTTTCCACGCGATTAAGACGGAATAGTCCATTATTTATGTGGTATTAGAAGCAGGCTTTAAACACATCTATGTTATCTTCTTTCTTTCTTTCTTTCTTTCTTTACTTCTTTCTTTCTTTCTTTCTTTACTTCTTTCTTTCTTTCCTTCTTTTTTCTTTCTTTTTACTTTGTTCTTTTTTTTCCTTTTCTTACTGAAACCGATGTCTTTTCCTTCTTTTCCAAAAGATCAAAACGGAATAGTTCATTATTTATGAGGTATTGGCAGGAGACGTTAAACACTTCTATGTTATCTTCTTTCTTTCTCTCTCTCTCTCTCTCTCTCTCTCTCTTTCTTTCTTTCTTTTTTCTTTCGTTCTTCCTTCCTTCCTTACTTCCTTCCCCATCCATCCTTCCTTCCGATCCTTCCTTCCTTCCTTCCTTCCTTCCTTCCTTCCTTCCTTCCTTCCTTCCTTCCTTCCTTCCTTCCTTCCTTCCTTTTTCTCACTGAAACTAATGTCTTCTCCTCTCCTTCCACGCGATAAAAAACGGAATAGTCCATTATCTATGAGGTATTGGCAGGAGACGTTAAACACTTCTATGATATCTTCTTTCTTTCTTTCTTTCTTTCTTTCTTTCTTTCTTTCTTTCTTTCTTTCTTTCTTTCTTTCTTTTTCTCACTGAAACCAATGTCTTTTCCTCTCCTTCCACGCGATAAGAAACAAAAATAGTCTATTATTTATGAGGTATTAGCAGGAGGCGTTAAACACTTACATCTATTTTTTTTTTTGTTTTGTTTCTTTCTTTCTTTCAATTTCTCACTGAAACCAAGAAGTAATTTTTCACTTCTTTACACGCGATTAAAACAGAGTAGTTTATTATTTATTAGATATAGGCAGGACGTAACGGACGTGCGAAGTAAAGGAGGGACAAACAAAATTATAACATGGTAATTTAAAAAGAAAAATACCAGAAAGTTTTGCGCACGCATTCATTTAGTTAGAGAACATTAATTAATGCCCCGTCAAAGAAATGTGAATATGCAGCGCCAAGTATAAGCTATTATTAATTTGTAAAAGCAATATTTGCTGTTGAGAAATTATGGTACGTGACAGGCTCATTGTTTTCTGACGGTCTGTATTCACTGGCGAAGTTCCGTTAATTAGATGAGAACGTGACGTGACCATATCGTTCGATAGCTTCTCCAACGACACACGATAGACTTTCCGACGACACACGCAACTTGACACGTTACACTGATATGCACGTGAGCATACATTTGTGCACGAGTTCGTGTGTCCGTGTTTGCAGTTCGTACGACGAGGTTATTGTAAATGCATTTATGTTTGGACATCACTTGTTAATGTTTCCCGATCCGGAATTTTAATGAAGACTGTCAGTACTATAATTAAGTGTGAAGGTTGGGTATTAAACCCATTCAAATCTTTCGTCTATTATTCACCTAATATAAGGCTCATGAACCACTCAAGATAGAGTGTTACAGAATGACCTTCTTTTATAGACTCAAGAGAAAATGATAACGGTATTGATAATATTAGCCGTTTCCTTATAAGGAAATATTCGGCGTTCACTGACCGAGCAGACAGTACTACTGCCAGTTGTAATTTATAAAATCTTAGTTTTAAAATAATTTTTCAGATATGTGACCGCTCGGGGATACCAGGTGCTGTAAGCTTGTATATGCGGGTGGTGTAATGGATAATTGCTTGGAATTGAAAGTTAGAGAGCTGAGTTCAAATTCCAGTCGGGTTTTTTATATTCACTCACCCACAAAACTTTGATGAATTAACCTCTTCTCGCCCAGATAGGGGTTAATTAGTCGGACTTGTATCATTAAATCATTATCGTCTCCAAGAAATTCTTACAATACAAAAAATATTTTCTAGCATTAAATAACCTGCAAAGGGTTGATAAACTGTAAAAAAAAAAAAAAAAAAATCTATCAATCGATTGTCTTTTATTTCACTTTGACATTTTCTGTGTGATTTTAAATAAACCGATTTTATCAGATTTGTCGCTTTCTCCTCTGTAAATGAATTTTTGCTGCCTCTGTTTTTGTCGTCTCTTGTCGTCAACATCGTTTATGCAGAAATAATTATCGGTGTTGATCGGCATTGTTTTCAAATTGTGTGTCTACCTTTCTTTTTCTTTCAGACACACTCAAGTTCAATTACCTATTAAATCCACGCAAAAAACCTTAACACGGACACACAAAATGGTGTGTACGGGGAAAGCAATAGAGAAAGCAAAATACAATGATAATGTATGCGGTAATATTAACCGTTTCCTTATAAGGAAACATTTAGAATTCATTATTGACCGAGCCGCCAGTACTATTACCGGTTGAAATTTATAAAATCTAAAAAGATTTTTCAAGTAAATGGGTTTTCAATTCCAATAGCTGTTATCGCTTTTTCCAGTATTGATGGGGAGTTTCCTTCCTAACCTTTTGTTTTAAGTAGTGTGGAATGTCAACATCTTCATTATGTCATGATTTCCTCTTAGCGTTTCATGAGCTATACATTTCAGTTGTTGCTGCTAGCCGTCAATGTTCGAAAAATGAAAAACAGACTTCATTCGCTTCAAAGACATTTTTAACCATTGATTTTAGAAAACTGTTGTATACTGCTGTGAGTTTAGATATTCCAGAACAAGTTGGGTGCCATGCATGACGTCGACATGGAAGACTCAGTCTGACGAGGCTATTTAAGAACATGACTTGATTTTTAAGATTAATGTTTTTTAATTTTAGAGCAATTTGTCCATATTATAATTTGGTACAGTTCATTGTTTATGATTCTGTAGCGCCAGTTCACAACGTTTGAAGAAGAATTGTCCTCGCTGAGATCTACAGATTGCATTCGTTTAAAGATATTTTAATCACTCTCCTGAGAAAGAAGTGATTCTGTAGCGCCAATCCAGAATTTTGGAAGAAGGATGGTCCTTGCTAAGACCTACAGTGTTCATTCACTCAAAGCCATTTTTAACCCTCAATCTGAGAAATCGGTTCTATACAGCTGATAGTTTAAATATTTATGAACAAGTTTGTCAACATTCCTGACGCCCAAATGAATGCCTTGATATGATGAGGTTATTTAAGTGCAGATTATGAGGATATGTAGGATATATTATATTTGACACTGGACATGAATAGGTTATAATTGCTGTGAACAAAGAAACATAGTTTTCGTGTTGTTTGTTCAACAGCGTCTCCTGGGAAGAAAGTGACGAATAATAAGTCAATGGAAGACGAAGGCAATGAAGCTAATTTGTACCTTCGACTCTTAGATGTAAAGGCCTGAACTGGTGGAACAAAGGAGTGTATTTCATCCAGAACATTTTTCATGGCCTAGCGAGAGAATTATGACGGTTTTAATTTTAAATATGCAAGTTGTACGCTTACCTTTTCCTCATGAACATAATTTTTGTTCACTCATAAAGCACCACTCGGTAACTATCTACTTCGACTGGCTCTTCGGCCTTGTATTGGAGGAAAATTAATATTTTTTAAAGCTTTTCGCTCCCAGCAAGGAGGCAAAGCCACTAAGGCGCAAGGGCCTAGCGAGTGTGAAAGAATATAAGAAAAAGAAAAACACTATTAAACAGTGAGAACAATAAAAGAAGAGGAATTAAAAAACAGACGATAACGATTGACATTACATTTAATCGTCTCATTCCAAGCAAGGAAAGAAATCTACTAAGACGCAAAGAGTTAGTGAGTGTGAAAGAATATGAGAAAAAGAAAAAAAAAAGAAGAGAACAATAAAAGAACAGGAAGATAACGATTCACATTGCCTTTAAATTTTTGAAGATCAAAGGCAATAAAGCCACTAAGATGCACAGGTTTACTGGATGTTATGGAATATGAGAAAAACTACTATTAAGGAGAGAGAACAATAAAAGAATAAGAATTTTGCAGACGGAAGATAACGATTGATATTACATTTACATTTTTGAAGATCAAAGGCAATAAAGCCACTAAGATGCGCAGGTTTACTGAGTGTTAGGGAATATGAGAAAAAGTACTATTAAAGAGAGAGAACAATAAAAGAACAGGAATTAAGAAGACAGAAGATAATGATTGATATTACATTTTTGAAGATGAAAGTTGACTGGGAAGCAAGAAGTCAGGATAGTATTGGTCCAGCAATTAAGTGATATTGTTAATGGTTCTTAATACTACTACTTTTGTTCTTATAAATCTTAAAACACCAAACATTTTATGACCAAATCAACATTAATTTACCTACTCCATGGGATTAGGTCATTGAAAAGGAAGGGGACTTATTTTGATTTGAATTTATAATTGATCATTAAAATTATGTGTCTCAGCAAAGGAGGGAAAAGAAAGCCAAAAAATAAGTGAATGTGCTCCTCTTGAAAGGTGAATATGCTTTTTGATACTGACCTCAAATGTAAGTTCAAAGTTGGCAAATTCAAACAAGATGTACTTGAAAGCCTTCTTGCAATGCTCCCACCGGGGTTGGTGTCCCTTTGTCTTCATGTAACCGAGAGACAAAGGCTCTCATATCAGAAACAAAGAACACCCTGTTTTCTGCATCTTCTGGTTTCACCACATTTAATTCTTTGCCTAAAAACTGAACATTTCTTTCCATATGCTGCTTTCTAACCTGAAGGAAAATAAAAATGGACTCATTAAATGAATAATACAAATGCACTATAATGGAGAGAGAAAAAAGAAAAAAAAAACAACCCAAAAATCCAGCTTGTAATAATTTAACACAAACATTGAGACATTTCAGTCATTCCCCGTCCCCAATCATGAGCAAAGCCTTTAAGATGACCGAGTGTGAAAGAATATAAGAAAAAGAAAAACATCATTAAGGAGAGAGAATAATAAAAGAAATGAGAATGAAAAGCCATCCTACCTCCTCAATATCTTCTTCAATGGCTGAAATATCCCATCGATTTTGAAGGACAAAAATGTTTGGTTTGGAGAGTTTTGAGCTAACTTTATGAAAAAAGTTCTTTTCCTGAAAAAGAAAGAAAAAGTCTTAAAATCTGCTTTCATTTCTATTAAAATTAAACCATTTTTTCAGTCTTTTTTCATCTAGAATTTCATCTTTCACCATTATTTCTGATATAATAATTGCTATTTAATATATACATTTTTTAAATGAGGTTATCAAAGTTATTTCTTTTATTATATCACTGTAAAAAATTTCTATTTTCGAAAATGGTTTTAATATCTAAAGAACTTAACAAGTGATTATATTTCAATAGTATTTTATTGCCTTGTGTTTTGTTGAGATTTTATACAGTATCATATTTACATCTGCCAATGTTTTTAATTGAAACAATATTTTTTTAATGATGCAATAATGGCAGAGAAAGAAATCTACAGATATTTACTTGAAATTGAACATAAAAAAAAGAAAAAAAAAGGTGTCAAAACTTTCAGAACTCAAAATAAAGATTCCATTTTTAACATCTAAATTTATTGAATATGTTTTCTTAAATTTTCATGATGGGTGAAGAATGAAACTTTCGGTGTAAAGTTCATCAACTTCGTTTTCTTTTTATTCTGATGTTTGACTTGTTATTGCTCAAAATCTTGAATAAATTTGGGAAAAAAAAATTGGGTGCAAAATACTTTTGAGCATTCAGAAGAATACTCTTAAATTTATAAAAAAAAAGAATCA